GAAGCTCCTCAGTACGGACACTTTGGGCCAGGATCTGGCCCCATTTGGATGGATGATGTTGGCTGTAATGGCACCGAATCTGCCCTGTCTGACTGCACACATGGAGGATGGGGTGAACATAACTGTGATCATCGCCGTGATGCTGGAGTGGTGTGTTCAGGTAAGATGACAACCTATTCCATACCTCTGGGGCTCAGATTGTGGAAGGAACCTGGCTGTGCCCTCAGGGAGCAACAGTCAGGCATCGGAGCATTGCCCAGTGTGGCCAGTCACACTGCTGAGCTGGAACTGTCATTACTGGTGTCCCCAGTCCCTGGGGAAAGCCAGTGGGAACCTGCCCAAGGGTGCCTTACTGTGCCTGGTCCCTGAGCTGGCACAGATGAACCCTCTATCCCTGCCCTGCATGGTCTGTTGATTGCCATCTTTCTCCTCCTGTTCACCCAGGAGCTGCCTGGCAGTGCTCAGGGCCAGCTGTCCCCATGCCAGAGGCACCAGAAGTGACTCCTGTGGCCACCCACTGTCCTGGGGAAGGGCGTGAGACGGGGAGCTACTTTGCGGTTGTCCCCCTTAGCAGACACAGGACCATTGGCTGATGTGTTTGTGCCACCAGCACCCCCTGAGAGCAGCTGGGGATGTCGTAGTTTTTTTTTGCCTGTGGCCACCTTGGAGATCAGCTGGCATGTAGTCAGGGTATTGCCAGATGGCTGTGGGAACTCTCAGGGGTCATTGGTTGGTCCAGAATCTGTCCATCTGCTCTAAGGGCACAGATCCTCCTGAAGACGTATAGTGATCCATGAGGAGGCCCTTTGGACAGCGGTGTGTGACTCACACTTTGGTCCCAATGGTGCCAACGTGGTTTGCAGAGTCTGCTGTGGGTCTGCAATAGACACACCCCCCTGAGTGCTCTGATGGTGTAGGGAAGGTGTGTAACTTAGCCTGGATGCTTTTTTGACATTAACACTCCCCCAACAGCTTCCTCTTTCATTAATGCAAAAGTCAGTCTGTAAGGAAACTCTCAGAGACCAAGGTTTACGGTTTCTGAAGGAAGCATTCCTTCACTCATGCCAGGCCAGTGAGGCTTAATTCCACCTAGCACTGACTCCCTGAACTTGTTTGTATCCTGTCAATATAGGAAAAAGTCATTCATATTCATTATCTTTATGGCGAGTATATACATAAATACAAGCCTTCCCTGGTACTCCTTTTAATACTATAATGCCCTTTACACATGCGTGGTTGTGCATCCTGGTGGTCGTTTCAGTATGTCAGTGGCCATTACTTCCACCTTGCTCATCTTCGTTACCTTCTCCTTTTCTTAAAATTGTCTATCTTGATACTCATCGTTGTTTTCATTAAGTTCACACATGACAAAATCAGTCCATTCTGGTCTTTTTGCAACTCTTCTTCTTGTTATTATCTTTGGGCATTCAGCATGTATACTACTTAATCTAAGCTGACCTTGGATGGTCAGTAGCTACGTGCAAGACTATCCAATTAGCACCCACTATCTTCAAAGGTTATGCAATAAAGCAACTGCTACCTTCATAGGACTATTGTTAAAAATAACAGCTTGTTTCAAGGACCTACCTTCTACGCAATCTGTCCTTTCAAGCAAATATTACATGGAAACTTAAAGCTATCACTGGGATATGCAATGGGTGATTTGGTGACAGCTTGCTTAGAGGTTGTGTGGGACGTGGGCATGGGAATGCCACAAGGCTCTGGGAACTCCCAGTTGATTAGATTTTTTTCTAGAATTTTTCCGGCTAGTGGAAGGGAAGAACCGCTGCTCAGGACGCGTGGAGATCCGTGACGGGGACCTGTGGAAAAGTGTCTGTGATTCCCACTTTGGTCCCAAGGCTGCTGACGTGCTCTGCAGGGAGTTGCAGTGCAGCGCAGCCCTGCCTGTCGCTGGAGGAAGTCACGTTGGAGAAGGGGTGGGTCCCATGTGGGATGGAGAGCTGCGGTGTGTGGGGAATGAATCCCTCCTCGCCTCCTGCCCCAGGGGGTCCCCTCGGGACCAGCCCTGCACCCACGCAAACAGCGCTGTTGTGAACTGCACAGGTAAGGACTCAGGGTGGGCTGTTGAACACCTGGGCTGTGCCGGGGGCAGGGGAGGAGGGCAGGGACTGTGCTGGCCTTGGCCTGAGAACCGGAGGGGTGATGTTGTCTCCTGCAGTCTGCAGTTACGCAGGAAAAGATGCAGAAGCCAATGCCTTGCTTATGTTCCGTCCTCCTGCATTTGGTGCACGGCTGCCGAAAGGTTCAGGATGGGGACAGAGTCCCTCTGTCCCATTAGTTACTGTAGCTGCTCCTCTGGGTGCAGTTGTGCAGGGGAAAATGCCTGCTGCCCTGCCACAAAGCCCTGGGGCCAAGGAGCAGCACAGGGATCCCTCTGGAAACGGGGCTTCTTCCCATGTGTCGATGTGACAAGGGCTAGAAAGTGAACAGGTTCACTGAGCCTGTGCTTCTCTGCGTGGCAGAAGGGCTTTTCTGCTTCCAGGGCTCCCACGTTTCTGGCCGTTGGTACACGGGTGTGGATTTGCCATCCTTGGGCACCGTCCCTGGGGCCCTGGCTCTGCCAGCTCTGTTCCCTGTGAGCTGGTAGTGCCTTAACTGGTGGCTCTTTGTTCTGTCATCCCAGAGGCACAGCCAGCCTCCGGGGTACCCAGGAAGGGGTGTGGGCTCTTCACTCTTGTCCTGGAGTCAGGGTGATCCCTGGCTGACCGGGGGTGGGTTGTGCTTGTGGAGACAAGGGAACTGGGGTATCTGTTCCCAGAGGCTCGCAAAGGGGTGAGCTTCCTGCGGGGATCCCAGACAAGGTCAGGTCTGGGCTGATGCCCAAGGACAAGGAGGGAGCATGGGTTGGGAGGCCTCACTGGGACCATCATTCTGCTCCACAGGGGACACGGAAAGTCCTGAGGGAGGAGGGTAAGTTGGGAGGAGCCCAGGGCAGGCTGTGGTCCAGGGGAGCTGGGGGCTCTGGGGAGGAGTAGCCATGTGAGCCTGGGGGATCCCTGGTGGGGACAGGTCCCTTTTCAGGGTGCTGTCTGGGGAGGAGCAGGAGCCCTGGGTGGGCACATGTCAGGGGCGAGGGGCTGTTGGAGTGGATGGAAGTGTCAGAGTGTGTGGTGCCACAAATGACCCAGCAGGGCTGGAGCTGGGCACCCCCAGTCTTGCACAGCCCATGAGGAGAGAAGGGACTCCTGAACTGCCCTGGGGACAGCCTGGAGGGGAGTGGGCTCCCACCCTGGTGCCTCTGACTCCACCTGCACAGGGCTTCCCCAGACCCGTGGTGCTGGGGCTGAGCGCTGTCCTGACTGGTCCTGTGTCAGTGTTTGAAGGTGCTGTGGAGGTGAGGCTGGCGGACGGTGGCAGGCGCTGTGCTGGGAGAGTGGAGGTGAAACAACAGGGCAAGTGGGGGACCGTGTCTAGTCACTACTGGAGCATGAAGAATGCAGCAGTGGTTTGTAAACAGCTGGGCTGTGGGTCTGCTGTTGAAGCTCCTCAGTACGGACACTTTGGGCCAGGATCTGGCCCCATTTGGATGGATGATGTTGGCTGTAATGGCACCGAATCTGCCCTGTCTGACTGCACACACGGAGGATGGGGTGAACATGACTGTGGTCATTTTGATGATGCTGGAGTGGTGTGTTCAGGTAAGATGACAACCTATTCCATACCTCTGGGGCTCAGATTGTGGAAGGAACCTGGCTGTGCCCTCAGGGAGCAACAGTCAGGCATCGGAGCATTGCCCAGTGTGGCCAGTCACACTGCTGAGCTGGAACTGTCATTACTGGTGTCCCCAGTCCCTGGGGAAAGCCAGTGGGAACCTGCCCAAGGGTGCCTTACTGTGCCTGGTCCCTGAGCTGGTGCAGATGAACCCTCCATCCCTGCCCTGCATGGTCTGTTGATTGCCATCTTTCTCCTCCTGTTCACCCAGGAGCTGTCTGGCAGTGCTCAGGGCCAGCTGTCCCCATGCCAGAGGCACCAGAAGTGACTCCTGTGGCCACCCACCGTCCTGTGGAAGGGCGTGAGATGGGGAGCTACTTTGCGGTTGTCCCCCTTAGCAGACACAGGTCCCTTGGCTGATGTGTTTGTGCCACCAGCACCCCCTGAGAGCAGCTGGGGATGTCGTAGGTTTTTTTTGCCTGTGGCCACCTTGGAGATCAGCTGGCATGTAGTCAGGGTATTACCAGATGGCTGTGGGAACTCTCAGGGGTCATTGGTTGGTCCAGAATCTGTCCGGCTGCTCTAAGGGCACCGGTCCTCCTGAAGACGTATAGTGATCCATGATGAGGACCTGTGTGACTCACACTTTGGTCCCAATGGTGCCAACGTGGTTTGCAGACTCTGCTGTGGGTCTGCAATAGACACACACCCCTGAGTGCTGTGATGGTGGAGAGAAAGTGTGTAACTTGACATGGATGCCTTTGTGACACCATCACTCCTTAAATAGCTTCTTCTGAGATGTGCAGTGAGCGATTTTGGTCACAGTTTGCGTGGAGATGGTCTGGGATGTGGGCATGGGAATGCCACAAGGCTCTGGGAACTCCCAGTTGATTTATTTCCAGGATTTTTCCGTCTGGTGGAAGGGAAGAACCTCTGCTCAGGACGTGTGGAGATCTATGATGGGGACATGTGGAAAAGTGTCTGTGATTCCCACTTTGGTCCCAAGGCTGCTGACGTGCTCTGCAGGGAGTTGCAGTGCGGCGCAGCCCTGCCTGTCACTGGAGGAAGTCACGTTGGAGAAGGGGTGGGTCCCATGTGGGATGGAGAGCTGCGGTGTGTGGGGAATGAATCCCTCCTCACCTCCTGCCCCAGAGGGCCCCCCCGGGACAAGCCCTGCACCCACGCAAACAGCGCTGTTGTTAAATGCACAGGTAAGGACTCAGGGTGGGCTGTTGAACACCGGGGATGTGGTAGGGGTTGGGGAACAGAGCAGGGACCGTGCTGGGCCGAGTGTGAGGACAGGAGGGGTTGATGGGTTTGTTTGCAGCATGACAATACTGCAGAATGAGAACAAAGGCATGTGGTCCCTCTGGCCCCTCCACCAGCTACTGAGGGTACAGGAGCACGAATCCACTCTCTTTTCTCCACATCTGTCCCCAGAGTACACAGGGATCAGACTGGTGAATGGCAGCACAGTGTGTGCGGGGAGGGTGGAGGTCCAGGTGCTGGGGACCTGGGGGACCCTCTGTGCCTCCCGCTGGGACCTCTCGGATGCCCACGTTCTCTGTCAGTCAACTCAACTGCGGGTTTGCTGAGTCCATTCCTGGAGGAGAATATTTTGGGAGAGAAACTGGCCCTGTCTGGAGAGACTCATTCCACTGTGACGGGACTGAAGCCCTCCTGCAACAGTGCCCAGTGACCACCCTGGGGGCCTCACCGTGCTCCCAAGGGAACGCTGCTGCTGTCCTTTGCTCAGGTTAGTGCTGGAAAAATGCTGCATAAACTCCATTTGTCACTTGTGTGCAACATAGCCACTAAAAGTAGGGGTTCCATGGCCGTATCAGGCTGAATTTCTCCTTCGGGAAACCCTGGCTTCCCCAGGAACTGTCTGGAGGGCTTTCCCTGCTCAGACTGACCGCTCGACTTTGGAAGAGCTGAGGACTGAACGGAGGCAGGCATCTGCCCCCAGGGCAGTGGCTTAGGCCCCAGCACCACCTCCAGGCCCGGGCTCCTCTGTCCTCGTACTGTGCAGCGAGCCCAGGACAGGGCTGCAGGGCTCTGCTCCATCCCCCTGGCTGCAGCCAACCGCATCCCGTCCCCACAGAGAGCCCTGCAGAGCCTCATCCCCCCACCCAGGCAGGAGCTGGTGCCCCCAGCAGCAGCTGACCTGGCTGTGAGCTGCAGGAGAGGGCCCAGGCTTTGCCCTTGTTTCTCGTCAGCACAAGGCTCCACCTTGTCCCAGTTTGGTTGAAAATCCCCCCTCGCCCTGCTCCCTGCAGGGTGTCATGCTCCCAGTGCCGCCGATGGCCGTGGCATTTCTGCTCTCCCCAGGCCCAGCCGGCTTTGGATCCCTGCGGCTGGTGGGCGGAGGGAGCCGGTGCGACGGACGAGTGGAGATCTTCCAGGATGGGGAGTGGGGCAGAGTCCTGGATGAGCAGTGGGACATGCAGGAGGCCAGCGTGGTGTGCCGGCAGCTGCAGTGCGGAGAGGCAGGGACAGCCTACAACCCCCCAAAGCCTGAGCGAGGGACGGGCCCCGTGGGGCTGCGAGGGGTCCGGTGCGCAGGGCACGAGGCCAAGCTGACCCTCTGCAACACCTCCCTGCCCGGCACGTGCGCTGGCGGCAGGGCTTGCGGAGGACGTGGGAGTCATTTGCTGGGGTGAGTGGCACTGCCCAGGCGCCCAGGTGATGGTCTGCGCAGGCGAGCAGGCCCTGACAGCGACTGGGGTTTCCACCCGCTGCAGGGAGCCGGCGGGTCCGGCTGGTGAACGGGGCCGGGCGCTGTGCAGGGAGAGTGGAGATCTACTCCCAGGGCATCTGGGGGACTGTCTGCGACGACGGCTGGGACCTGTCTGATGCCGCCGTCGTTTGCCACCAGCTGGGCTGCGGAGAGGCAGTGGAGGCAGCCGGCTCCGCTCGCTTCGGGGAAGGCTCCGGGCAGATCTGGCTAGATGGTGTGAACTGCTCCGGGGCCGAAGCTGCTCTCTGGGACTGCCCGGCTGGGCCCTGGGGGCAGCACGACTGCGGGCACAAAGAGGATGCGGGAGTCATCTGCTCAGGTCTGTGCCACCTCAGGAGCTGTGGTGGGAGCCTGGTCCCGGGGTGGGCAGGACGCGGGGAGAGCCGACCATGGCCAAGGCTGCCCCTGGATGCCTCTGAGCTCCTGCCCGAGGCCCACCCGTGCATGGACACCCTCAGTCCCACGGGGGATCCCTGGGGAGCTCAGCTGTCCCCGAGGGTTCGCGGGAAGGGCAGGGCTGGCTGTAAATCCGGGACTTCTCTCTGCCCCTGGGTGCAAGGGGGATGTGGTGGCCTTGCCCCTGCCTGGCTGAGGTCCTGGAGGGATGTAGAGGTGTCCTGGCTCCCACAGCCCCAGATCAGCCTGTTCCCGCTTTGGGGCCTTTTCTTCCCAGAGTTCGTGGCCCTGAGGCTGGAGAACAGCGACGGCTGCTCCGGGCGCCTGCAGGTTTTCTACAACGGGACATGGGGGAGCATTTGCTCTAACTCCATCACTGACAACACGGTGACACTGGCGTGCAAGGAGCTGGGCTGCGGGGACGGAGGATCCCTGGAAACACGCCTGCCCTCTGGCAGGGTGTCTGGCCCTGCCTGGCTGGATCGCGTGCAGTGTGGGGAGACAAACAGCTCTTTCTGGCAGTGTCCCTCCACACCCTGGAACCCACAGTCATGTGAATACCTGGAAGAGGAGATCCGCATCACCTGCAATGGTAACTCTGAGGCACCCAGGCACCAGTGTCACCCCAGCTCCTGCTCCCCACGGGGCATGGCCAAACACAGAGAAAGAGCTTGGAGAGGCTTTTACTTTCCATGCCAGACCCAGTGGCAGAAACATGACCGCGGCCACACATGTCCAGCAGCAGTTGCCTGCAACTGGGGGTTGCCAGCAGTGCCTGCAGGAAGCAGAGGCATCTCCAGGTGAGGTCTCAGAAGAGACCCGACAGGCTTCAGAAGAGCCTCCCCTCCATAGACAAGCTACTGCTGCTCTGTGAACCAGGGACCTTCTGGGGCTGAGCAATCAGGGTCCCCCCACAGTCCTGCACGTGTCCCATGGATGATGGGGTTTCAGTTGCTGCCGTGCCCCAGATGGTGCAGGGAGGCCTGAGCAGAGCTTAGCCCTGCTCTCTTCTACATGATCCCCCAAACCAGCCCCGTCACCACAGTGTTTCCTTCTTCAGGGGGACAGCCAGAAATGCACCCGACTCCGCTGGTGCCGTGCCCCAACTCCACGAGCTGCACAGGTAGGGAGGTCCCCTCTGTGTCTGGAAGGGCTCTTCCTGCTCTCCCGGTGCCATGGGAGGTCTTTCCTTTCTCCAGCCAGGGAGAAGATTCGTGCCGTGGGAGGCAAGGACGGGTGCTCGGGCAGAGTGGAGGTCTGGCACCGTGGCTCCTGGGGGACGGTGTGCGACGACTCGTGGGACATGCAGGATGCCGAGGTGGCGTGCAGGCAGCTGGGCTGTGGCCCTGTGGTGTCTGCCCTGCATGAGGCTGCGTTTGGGATGGGGACGGGCCCCATCTGGCTGGAGCAGGTGGAGTGCCGGGGGACGGAGCCGTCCCTGCAGGACTGCTGGGCCCGGCCCGGGGACAGCGGGGCTTGCCGGCACAAGGAAGATGCTGCCGTGCGCTGCTCAGGTGAGTGGCAGGGCTGGGAGCCCTTGCTCGGGTATTAGCAGGGAGCTAGGGAAGGCCTTTTGTCCACGTGGTCCGGGCATGGCCCCTGACCTCCCGAGAGAAAGAACGTTCCTCTGGAGTGCAGGAGCCCGGTGCCAGGCAGGGAGCAGCCTCGGTGTAACTGGCCGTGCTCTGGCCACTGCCCGTGGGGCCCTGCAGCCCCAGGGCTATCCCCTGGGCTGCCTCTGCCATCCTGCCTGCCTCCCAGAGCAGAGGTGCTGGGCTCTGCCCTGGCCTCCCTTTCTGGCACTACAGGAGGGGCAATTTGGGTGGGATGTGTCAGGGACATCGAGAGACACACACACACACACACACACACACACACACACACACGGTGTGTTGGGGAGGAGGTTTCCTGATACCCACACACCCAGTGTCTCAGCCCAGCTCTCCTTTTCCTCCTCTGCAGCTACACCCAGGATGGCAACACCCCCACCCCGAGCAGGTAACTTGTCCTCCCCCCAGGCTGGGTACCCCCGGGGCCAGGCTGTGACCCACAGCTGGATGGAAGGGGCTCCTAGCTGGGGTGTGAAACTGCCTGGAGGAGATACTGGAGTGGTGGCAGGGGTTTGGGGAGAGCTGTAATTTACCCAGGAGGGTGGAAGCTTCCCTGTCACTCACCCCTGGGGCCTCCACCTGCTTCTGCTTTGCATGATGCGGCTAGCACTGGTGCTGCCCCTTCCAAGTTCTCTCCCATGCAGATCCCACCCGAGGCCATCAGAGCAGCAGCGGGAGAGTCTCAGTGCCCGTCATCATGTGCATCATCCTGGGGACCCTTGTCTGCCTGCTCCTGGCCCTCCTGGCTGGGCAAGTGCTGAGCGCCAGGGCTGGGCGCAGAGGTGGGTCCTTGCCCAGAGGTGCCGGGGGGAGATACCTCCTGGCAGGGCTGTGGGGTGCTGCGGGGGGTGTCAGCAAGGGGCACAGGCAGAGCGGGAGGGTGAGACTGTGTGCTGCTACCTGTCACATGTGCTGCCCCATTGAGTGACTGGCTGTGGGGCACCAGCAGCAAGGGGTGGAGAGAGCCCTGAGGTGGGGTGAGCTAGCCATGGGGCGAGGAGAGAAATGGCAGAGTGGGGATGGCCAAGGCTGGCAGTGCTCTCGGTAGTGCTGGAGGGGGCTCTGGGGAAAGAGAGATGCTAGGAGGAGTGTGGGGAAGCAGGGTCCATCACCGTGGTGTCAGGCCTTCAGGCTGTCCCTCTGCCCAGCCCTGCCCACACCCTGGCAGGACAGGGGCCCTACTATAGACCCGTGGGGCAGGTAGGAGCAAGCTCCAGGTGGAGAGGAAGGTGGGAACAGATCCAGGGTGAGACAAGGGGGACATGGCACACAGGCCAGAGGGGCATGAGCGCTGTCTCCAAAGGGATGATGTGAGGGTGACGCTGCCCCAGATGATCTTCACATCGATGTTGCCCTCACTGGGGATGTGATAGATGTGCCTGGACAGCACAGTGGGGCTGTGCTGTTGGACCTGTCCTGAGGTGGCCCAAGGAACCGTTTTGGGGGAGCACAGTGAGGTCCCTTTTCCCCTCTGCCTGTCCCTGTGCCAGCCCTGCCTCTGTCCCCAGGCTCCAGCAGAGCCCAGGAGCCCTTCCCCGAGGCTGTGTACGAGGAGATCGGGTACAGCCCAGCGTGGGAGAAACGGGCCAGGTTTGATCGCTCAGGTGGGTGTGGGTCTTCCCTGGAGGCACATCTGCAGGACCCATTCCTCTGGCCCCAACCCAGAGCTGACCCTCTTAAGCCCCCCAGCCTGTGGTGCCTGTAGTGCTGGGGCTGTGGGAGCTGTGGGGAGAGCATCCAGGTCCTGATCCCAGGAGAGAAGCTTTCTCCCAGTCAGCTTTGACTGTCCCAGCTGGACAGCCCCTTCTCTTCCTGCCCCTGCACCCCATGAGACACCCGAGGAGCGAGGGAAGGGGCTGTCCTGGGCCAGCTCTGGAAGCTCCTTTGAGACAGGGTTTGTCCCGGGGGAGCAGGGTGAATTCCCAGCCCTCCTCCCCACACAGCCCCAGCTCTGTGGGTCCCCCTTCCCCAGCAGCGCTGACCGTGAACCACGTCAGTGGGGCTTGCTCCATAACACCCGCTGTGCATCTCTCCAGGCTCCTATTCAGAGGAGTCCCTGACCCAGCTGCAGCCCCACCCTGGGGTCAGTGAGGAGGAGAAAGGTCTGGGATCAGCACCAGGTAACGGAGGCAGGAAGGGGTTGATCTCCCTGCAGACATGGGGTGGACAGAGGTGTCCCTGAGTGTCACCATCGGAGAAGGGGAGGACATGGGCATCTCTTGTGGTTCTGCCAAGCCCAGTGTCTGCGCTCTGTGTCCCTGCACATCCTCCCATCCTCTGCTCTGCAGGACAGATCTTCTCACTGTCACCAACTCCCCTCTCCTTTCAGACGTCCTTGTCCTGCCCGGAGGTGACCCAGCAGATGGCTACGATGATGCCAGGGAGGTTCCTGATGCGGGGGAGGATGCTGTGCCTGGGCAGGGAGAGTGGGAAATGCCCAGGATGCCAGAGGAGGGAGCAGGGCCCAGGGCTGCACCTGGAGGTGAGAGGGAAAGAGAGCGCTGCCTGTTCCTAGGGTGCCATCCCTGGTGCCCCTCAAGTCACTACCCTACTGACACCCAAACCTGCTGGGAAGGGGGAACCTGGCATAGGAGTTTTCCTTGAAAGGCCCGGGGGTGGGAGAAGGAGCTGAATGTGGTGAGGAGCAGGGAGGGTGGTGGTGTACAGACCCCATGGGGTGAACTGAAACGTCCGGACCTTGCTGCTTGCAGGGGGCAGCCTGCGCTCCTGGAGAAGTGCCGACGTCCCTGGAGCTGAAGGAGACACCTTGTCCCTGTCCCCGGGGAGCATGGGCTATGATGATGCTGAAGAGGTGCCTGTGGCACTTCCCTGTGAGGACGCAAAGGCTGTGACACCGGAGCTTGGTGCACAGCAGTCCCTGAGCCCCAGGCCAGGAGAGCCCATCCCTGCTGCACAGCTGGGTGCAGCCGGGAGGGAGGAGAGGTCTGTGCAGCTGGGAGAGCCAGCGAGCACCAGGGGACTGTCTCCCTTGAGCCATGGGCAGCAGAAACCGCCTGGGAGTTTCCTCCATTTTTATTCCCATTTTTATGCTGTGCATTCTTATATTTGCTTATTAAAAGCCTCTGGGGGCTTTGACCCAGAGCTGATGCTTCCCTGCCAGGTGTCAGGGCATCTCCCTGAGGCTGCTCAGGGGGAGCAGAGAACAGAGACACCATGGCAAGGGAAGGGACACGTCTCAGGGACAGCAGGCTCAGGGTCAGCCTGTGGGGCTGCGTGAGGCCATGGTCCCTGGGGAATAATCTTGGTGAGAGAGACATCCATCCTGCTGCCCACAGGCAGTTTCTAATCAAAGTGACTCTCTGATAGGTCCCATGATGCACCCCAGTGGGAGCACCCATTTCCTCCCCCAAGGGTTCCAGCTGCTCTTTCCCCCAGGCCCTGCCTGGGCCACACCTGATCCCACCAGTGCAGAGGCCACGACAGAGCTGCCATGTCAGGGTGAGCCCTGGGCTTTTGTCTCACAGAAGCGAGCCCTAAGGTGACCGCAGGTCCCTGAAAACCCCAGCCAGCCCCAGGTGGGATCATGGCCCACGGATTACCTCCCACAATGCTTGGGAGGCAGCTCTGCTCCCCACTGCCCTGGCACAGGGTGCAGAGCCACCTCCTGGGAAACACGTGGCTGGGATTCTCTCTCCTCATGCTCTGCCAGGACCCCAGTCTCCATGGGCTGTTCCTCCTGCCTTGCAGACCCAGGAGCAGCCCTGGGAAACCCTCCTCCTGCTCCCCTGCCAGCTCCCACCCCTGCCCCCCTGCTGCCTTGCCAGGGATGTCAGTTTGGGTTGTGTGCGGGGCAGTACTTGTGGGCAGGTACGTGAGGGCTGGGAGCACCGAGGATGAGGGCACCGTTCCCTCAGCGCTGTTAGAGGGCCAGGGGGATTGGAGAAAGCTTCCCCACAAGACGCGTGCGGCAGCCAAAAGCTGTGCTCCAGCCCCTGGCCTGGAGAAGGGACCCATCTGGGAGGATGCTCATGTGGGCACATTTCCATGGCAGTGGAGATTTTGTGTCCCTCCACTAAAACAGGTGCTGCTGGGAGCTGAGCCAGGGTCCGTCCCTCTCCCTCAGCTGGGGTTTCACCTGCCCCAGCACCCACGGCACAGAAACTTTGTGCAGAAGCCAGGCTGGGAGAAGAGTTTGGCACCTGGGCAGGACCTGGCGCCCAAACTGCCCAACTGCCCTCCCTGTTCCCGCTGGTGGGTCTCCGCACTCCACCGGCTATTCCCCAATGGGCTTCTCTGCTGCAGGCTGGAAGGTGTGTTGGGTGTCTGTGGCAGGATTGCCTGTGGGGAGTAGCTGCAGCTCCATAGTGCTGCAAACAGCAGGATCTGGCCCTGGAGCAGAAGTGGAGAGGAGGCAGACGTTGCCAACATCTTCTCCTATAGCAGTGTTGCCCCATTCCCTGCTGGGAGCTCCTCCACCCCTGGGCTGACCCTGGGGGCACCTGGGGGGAGCCGAGGTTCACACATCCCTCTGCCCCACACCTGAGAGCCTTCCTGCTGGCAGCCCCCATGGGAGAGCAGTGTTCCCAGGGCAAGACCCCCACAATGATGCGTGACATCCATGGGCATTGCAAACACAGCCTGGAGAACTCCCACTGGGATAAGCTCCAGCCCTGCATCTCAGAGAAATAAGGTATAAAGGTGAAGTAAAGAAGAGGGGAGTGTTATCTTCTGAACACGGGATGGTGGGGGCCTCTGGACAGTATGGACACTGATCTGCACACTCCAGGTGCCCCAAGTGGGAACTGGGGAGAAGAGCCCAGTGCCTGTCCGGTGTGACTGCCCCACCAGCTCTGCCCTCCCACAGGTGTAATATTTCTCCCATAATCTGGCACCTGGTAGAGGTTTGCCTCTTTCTCCTTGAGGAAATAAGCCCCAGGCGTGGGTGTGCTTGAGGGGGCAGCACCCCTGAGCAGAAAGAACCTGTTTCATGCATTTTGGGACCTAACAGGATGGCCCTGCCAGATGGGTCCCTTCTCTGCATCAAAGCAGGATTGCCACTGTGCCCCAGATCTGTGTCTGCTCCTGCAGCTCCTGAGGATCTACCTGAGGGGGGTCGCAGTGAGACCCCAGCCCTCAGCACCGCTGCCCCACACTGGGCAGAGCTCAGATGTGGAAAGCCCATGGGAGAGCAGCCTTATTTCTCTGAGTTTGGGCTCCCTGTTCCCAAGGAGGAGCAGTGCAACAGGGCGAGGTGCCCCCAGGCTCTGATGACATCCCAGGGTGTGTGGTGGGGGCACACAGGGGCAGAAATCCCATAACCCCTCCTCTAGTCACTGGGCCTTGCCCTGCACCACTCCTCCCACCAGCATCCCAGGAGGTGAGGTGGACAGCAGGCTTCCATCTCCCTGGGGCTGCGGGTGTGGGTTGGGCTCAGGGACCTCCCCACTCCTCCAGTGCTGAGGCCTGTCCTGACAGCAAAGCAGTGCCCTGGGACAGCCCTGGCTGGGGTCTCCGTGGCAGGGTGGCTGAGCACGGGCAGCTGTTAACTCCAAGGCTGAGAGCCTGACCACACTGCAGGGGTGGTAGTCTTCGTGGTGGTAAACATGGGACAATTGTGCTGCTCAGCTGCAAGAAGTGCCTCTCCCTGGGACTGGGGAGATGGTGGCCTCCCTGTGGGCAGTGTGCCCTGGTCTGGGAACTGAGGTTGAGGTGAAGGATGTGTGTGAGGAGGGGAGCAGTCTGTGCACCAGTGAGAATGACCATGAGGAGAGAGACAGAGTCTTTGCAGAGACCCCTGAGTGGAGAGATCCCGATCCCTGTGGAGCAGGGAAGGAGACCCAGCTGGAGAACACCCCAAAGACACACTGAGTGGAGAGTCCTGCCCAGGGGAAGGCTGGGGGCTTGTGGTGCAAGAGGAAGGCTCCTTCTAACCTGTAGATGTGCAGCTACAGCGCACGGGCAGTGCTCTGGCAAGAGGGGAAGGAGCAAGGAGGGCCAGGGCAGGATGGACAAAGGCAGACGGGCTCTGCAAGACCCTAAGGGAGAAAAGCATTGCTGAAGCCCAGGGTTGAACCAGGGACCTTTAGATCTTCAGTCTAACGCTCTCCCAGCTGAGCTACTTCAGCCCTGACCCAGCAGCCCTTGTCCCTGTGCCACCCGTGCCAGGCCACAGCCTGACACACGTGAGGAGAGCTCCTTGGGGACGTTCCCAGGAAAAAGCTGTGCCCAGTGCAAGCAGAGTGGGCCTGGCCTCTCCCTGCCCCTGTGGCCAGGTGGGCTCCAGTTGCGGGGTGGGTGCCAGCTTACAGTGGGAGTGACAAGATATGTGTTGGGCCTTAAATACAAAGGTGATGGTTGCAAAGTCAAGTGAGCAGGCCAGGCACATGCAGCTGCAAAGGCTGAGGAAGAAAGAAGTGTGGGATTGGTGGCAGACCCCTCTCACAGAGAAGTGAAGGGCCAGGGGAGGAAGAGCTCGTGTTGGTGCCATAGGCTTTTGCCTTCATTCTTGTCTGAGCCAGAGCTTTTTGTTCAATATTGGGAGACCATATGTAGGGGGAAAGGAGGCTTGGAAACCTCCAAGGGTCTGGGTTGCAGAGCCTCTCAAGATAACCTCTTCCAGTGTGTAAGTGACCTCATGGTTATGACCTCATGGTCCTCATCTCCTGCCTGAACTATTCTTTCCACTTTTGTCCCTTGCCTCTCCTTTTCCCACCATCCACCACGATGAAGAGCCTGGCTCTATTT